CTGTCTCAAAAAAAAAAAAAAAAAAAAAAAAAAATCTGGTTACCTTAGACTATGTGGGTATTTGTTACATTATTCTTTATATTTGTTTTTGTCTTAAATATTTCATAATGAAAATCTTTGTAAAAAAAACCATTACCGTTGGCCAGTGTCTTAATTCACTTAAGGAACAAAGTTTGAAGTCTGCATAGGACCATCTGCAGGCCTCCCAGGGCCTGGAGGCAGGGTCAGCACAGCCCGTGTCTGGGTTCTGGGTTTAGCTGCATGTGGGTATGAAATGACCCCAAGTATAGTTCACATAGACAATGGCAGCAATAGGACTTGATACCAGAGATCAAGGGACAAGCCCTTAAGTCCTCCTGCATGTGAAGTGAATACACACACATGAAGAAGGCAGGAAAGCTTTTCATTATGTAGAATTCCGGTTAATAAAAATATAGAAGGAAGTAAATTTCAAAAATCACCATTTGAGGCTCGGCGCCTGTGGCTCAAGTGGCTAAGGCGCCAGCCACATACACCTAAGGTGGTGAGTTTGAATCCAGCCTAGGTCTGCCAAACAACAATGATGGCTGCAACCAAAAAATAGCCAGGCGTTGTAGTGGGCACCTGTGGTCCCAGCTACTTGGGAGGCAGAGGCAAGAGACTTACTTAAACCCAGGAGTTTGAGGTTGCTGTGAGCTGTGATGCCATAGCATTCTACCCAGGGGAATATCTTGAGGCTCTGTCTCAAAAAAAAAAAAAAAAATCACCATTTGGCAAATACCATGGTAAACACTAATTGAGGCCAAAAAACATCTTTAAGGGTCCTCATAGTAGTCAGTCAAAGACTGGCAAGAAACGGGATATTCACAAAGTCTCGAACTGTCTCCCTATGAAATATTTATTAATAACAAAGAAAGAAACAGCAACCTGACCATGGAGTGGGCTGGCAGTGGCTGGAGCTGAGCAGGAGCCAGCATCTCCACAGGGTGCACTGGGCTCTTCACAGACACACACCCCACACAGCCAGCAGACACCACAAAGACCCAGATCAAAGAAGATCCTACAAAATTACTTGCCTGTGGTCCTCAAAAAATTAAAAAAAAAAAAAATGAATGAAAAGATTTCAGACAGGGCAGCACCTGTGGCTCAAGGAGTAGGGCACTGGTTCCATAAACTGGAGGTAGCAGGTTCAAACCTGGCCCTGGCCAAAAACTCCAACAATAACAACAACAAAAATTTCAGACTAATGAAAACTGGAGATTGAGGCTCTCCCCAGATGAGACTGGAGATGCTCCTATGGGCTCCACAGACACTGCTGTCTTGTCCTTTGCTGACTGGACACTGAGGCATTGTAAGGTCTGCAAGATTCCCAAGAGCACTGTCACAACACTAACTTCCTGATTTTGATAACTGTTATGTGAGGTAATAGCAGCAGTTGGAGAGAAAGTCTTCTACAGAAACACACTGGCATGTTCAGAGGCCACAATTCTGAATACACCAGAGGTTTGTTCAGAGCAAAACACCTGAGCTCACTCTCAACTCTTGAGAAGAACATGGCAGGGTGTGTGCCTGGGTGCGAAGACAGAACAAAGCAAAAGTGGTAAACAGATCAGTCTGGAAAAGCCTGGGTGAAGATCATGTAAGAATTCTTCGGGCTCGGCGCCTATAGCTCAACTGGCTAAGGCGCCAGCCACGTACACCTAAGGTGGCGGGTTCGAATCCCCAGCCCGGA